CTCAACCCTAAATCCTGAACACCAAACCCTAAATCCTGAACTCCCAATTTTAAATCGTAAGCCCTGAACCTTAAATCCAAACGTCTGAGCCCCAAAGCCTAAACCGCGGGGCAGACTCTGCAAGGAGGAGGGGCTCGAACTTTCCCGGGCCAAGGATCAGCTGACATGGTCTCAGCCGGCTTGGGAGTTATAGTCCATGTGAAGTGGGGTTTCCGAAAATTAGGGGTACCCTTTTGGGGGTCCCCCATAATAAGGGTCAATGGAGTTTAGGGCTGAGGGTTCTGGGTTATGGTTCCCCTTAAGTAGATAGAATATGGCTTTGGGTACATTAGAGTAAGATCCCCATATACCTCATATTCTATCTACTTAAGGGGGACTATATGCTTCCTGGTTCAAGGCTCAGGGTTGATAGTTGGTACGCCCAAGCAGTGAACCGGGATTTTGTATGAGCCTAGGAGCCTTGCGCCCCCGAAGTGGAGTTACATGCGATCCAAATGCTAGAATCCGCGGTACACAATTTTTTTCTGCGCAGCCTGAGGGTCAGTGTATAGCCTCACTTACCACTCTGTACCTCCAAGTAGCTCTTGCCGGGCGTGCAAGGTTTCGCCATGTGAGTGGATATTTCCAAAGAAATGGCAGTTTCCCACAATAAGGGGACCCCAGTATAGACCCCCAGATATTATAGTCCTTATCATAGGGAACCACCAAAAAAGTATTCCGAATTTTGAGAAACTCCTAAATGGGGGGGGGCGCTCATTCACTCCGGAAAACCACCACTTGTTTTACTTAGCGACTCTCGATAAAGGGGTTGGGTGTATGCGCTTAGATAAACAGAAAGGGATAATGTGCCCAGATTCATTGCGAGGGGCTTACTGAAACTTGGATAGGGGGGTTGGGTAGCGGGACTGCCTTCGGGCATTTTTGGTCTTTGGGTTTAAGGTCTTGGTGGGTTTTGCTTGCGGTGCGCTTGCAATCCTGGGTTTTGGGCAACTTCATAAGTTCGGCGAGTTCATCTGGAATGACATCATTCTTCACATCCTAGTTCAAATCCAAGCCTCCCACAATTAAAAAACCCATACATATTTACATAGCTTTACAAGATGATAGAAAGGAATCCTTGGCAACAACCTTCATACTCTCCTTATTACGTATACGTGTCCTTTGGGTTTCCAAGACACATAAGCCTTCACTTGGGCGACGCGGACTTTGGGTGTGGTGTCAGCCACGCTTCCGAGACCTGCCATGCTAACCTAAAATCTTTGTTCAGGATTTTGAATTTGGGTAATTCTCTAAATTATGGGCCCCTTTTGGTTATGGATCACCTAATATCTAGTGCTACCAATATGTGAGTGTTTAGGGGTTAAGGGTTGAGGGTTTAGGGCACGAGCAGCCGCGCCTGATCTTCTGAAGACTTCCAAAATTATAGAATGCGTGCATACAGATTCTATATGCATGTAATCCCAGCCTGCAATCTTGAGTTCAAAGCTAGATGGAAGGATGGGACCAAGGCCCGACAACAAGGCCGTCGACTCCATTAATCCTCTCCCACGCATACTAACTCCGCCAAGTACAATACCATTAAATACTTTGGAGAGTATTTGTGATTAGGGGGGTGGGGGGCGGTGGTTTATCAGTAGTGGGAGGGGAGAACTTAGCCAATGACCCCCAGGAAGCATGGAAAACCGAATGCTCCAAACCCTAAACAGCAGAAAAGGCTTGGGAGTAATTTAGTTGTGAGTTTTGTGCCGGTATGGGGGGCCCTTAGCAATACCCCAGCCTGCGATACCCTGATAAATCAAAGGGATTCCTTACCGTAAGCCCTAAATTCTACCTAATCCGTTAACCCCTAAAGCCCTAAGCCCAAAAATCCTGAACTTTAAAACCCTTGAATCTCAAGACTCTCAACTTAAAGCCCTAAAGCTCTTAAGTCCCGAATCTCTAAATCGTGCGCTAAGGAAGAAACAGCGCAGTGTGGCGCGGAGCGAGGCGAGATGCAAAGCTCCGAATGTCCATCCGGAAGATTTTCAAAGTGGTCACTGTTAAGATCCCGAGAAAGCTTTGGGAATACAGTAACACAGAATACATGCGGTTTAGGGTCTAGGGTTATGTGATGTGGTGATCTAATGATATGGGAATTGAGGAATATATACAGTGCCGTCAGTGCCGAACGTTTGTGGGGAGCAATGGAGATCAAAATGGCACAGAACATAAGAAGCTGACATGTGGGGTGCTCAAAGATTCCAACCTGACACAGGGTTAACAACCGTTCTACGTTCTAAGCCCTGCATCCCCAACCCTACGGCCTAAACCCTTAAACGCTAAAACCCTAGACTCTTTAAAAAACATCACTCTGAACACATGGTACCTTCGGAGGCTGAAACGGTCGAGGCCCTCCAGAGCCAACTCACTGAGGCAGCGGGTGGTTAAGAGGGTTAACAGTTTAGTTAGGGCTTAGGGTTGAGGGGATAGGGTTTAGGGTTTGGGTTGAGGGTTTAGGGTTTAAGGTTTGGGTTGTGGTGTGGGGTTGAGGGTTTAGGGTTTAGGGCCTAGGGTTTGGGTTGATGGATTAGGTTTGAGGGTTCAAGGACTTCTTTAGAGGAGTTATGGTGACCATGCACAGGGTTCAGTAGGCAGTATGTATCGGACTGCAGGAGTTTTATTTCCCCGAACTAAGATGGAGCCTCCAAAAGCTCCGATTTCAAAGGGCCGTGGTCCACAATGGACCACCTTTTTCAGGTTCCGTGCTAGTTGGGAGGCTCGGGCTTGGGGATTGAGATTCCGGGTTCCAGGGATGAAGTTTCAGGCTTCATGTGTTTGAGGTTCCTTAAAACTCCTACCCTCAACTCTCAACTTTGAAGGTCCTAACCTACATCCTAGACCGCTAGCCTTAAATCTTAACTTAAACCCGTAACAAGAAAATCCTAACCGAAATCCTAATCCCAAAGCCCATGCTCAAAACCAAACTCACTAGTGTAGAGTGGGGAATACGGGAATATACCCCCTACAAAATCCCTATATAATACAGCCCCTTATTCCTTACTTACCCTAAACCCCATATCCCTAAACCTGAAACTTATTCCCTAAACCCTAGATTGAGTCCCTACTAACCCCAAAAAGCTTGAAGCCAGGCGGAGCAACAGCGCCGGAGTGCCCAGGTAGAGCTCGCGAAGTGCTGGGCTCGGGAGTCTGAAGCCTTGCCGCTTCCCCCAAATCCTAAATCTCTAAACCTAAATCCCTAAACTCTAAATCCATAAACCAAAAATGCCTAAATCCTAAATTTCTAAACTCTAAATCCCTAAACCTTAAATGCCTGAACCCCAACTCCCTAAACCCTGAATGCCTAAACCTTAAACGCTTGAATCCTAAATCCCGAAACCCTAGGTCCTTGAACCCTGAGTTAGGCTGTAGGGGTTGGGGCTACAGTAGGAGTGTCCAGAGCTTTGAAACATCTTGCTTGCTATACTACACCACCTCCCCGTAACCAGCTAAACCGTTTTTTTTGGAAGATTTTGGGAGGTATTCCTGGGCATTTCACTTTTCAGGTGCAGCACGGTGTACTGTAGGGTTTCTAAAGGGTCAGCGCTGGGGTTTAGGATTTACATTCCGGAGATTGGGGCGGGGGCGTCTAGGTTTGAAGTTCAGGCTTAGAGGGCTTGCGCTTGTTAGTTTAGGGTCTAGGGCTGAGCAACATGGGTTTTGAATTAATCTGGTGCATTGTTTTCGATTCAGGATTGTCCGAGGACTACCGGGGACAGGTGTTCTGGGGGACATATCGTGATTTTCTCGAAGCCGGGGTCCCTTTCTGGGGTCCGTATAGTAAGGATTATGTATTATGAGGTTTATATCGGGGTCTGATTATGTACAGAGACTACCAGATACTGCAGTTGTTGCCAGTTGAACGGTTCCGCAGGCATCCGCGATTGTATGGCAAGCTTGGAGGTGTGCCCATCCTAGTTGCCAGAGCGATCAGCGCGGAACCAAATCTTTTCAGAGACGTGTCATGGTTTGCGTTGTGGGATTTTTGTGCAGGCTCAGGGCCCCTCATACTTGTGTAGATTGAGTCATTCCCCCTCCCAGTAACTGTCCTTAAAGGGGCCTTTAAGGGGGTTCTTATAACTCCTATAACCCATTGTGGTAACAGTTACTGTAAGGGGGAATGACCTAATGTATAGAGTATTTTGCGTTGGTTTCTGCAGGCGGTCTTATAGAGCTAGTGACGGAATCTTTCTGGTTACCCCGGGTTTCTCTCAAACAATGAGCCGGACAAATCAGAAGCTATGTGGAACTTTGGGATATTTGATAATATCCCCGCTTGTTGTGTGTGGGGGGGATGTCCTCCCACATACAAAACGCCTCGCGGCAGTCCGCAAAAGGAGAGAGATCCATCTCATGCCGTCTGGTGCACTCGGAGGAGCTTTTCGATATCCAGAAAAAGTAAATCGTTGAGGACGGCGATGTTCAAGAACAGCCAGGCCCCAGTCATCCTGATCATTATTTTGTCTGTGCCAGTGGATCCTTGCCAGTGGCTGATCACCAGCGCTGTGCTCGCAGGGGTCTACCTGCTGAGATCAAGCGCAACTTTTGGACATCAGGCGCAGACAACTCCTCGAGGATGGTGACATTGAGGAACATCATGGGCCAACAGAACTGACGGGGGACCTATTGACAAACAAATTTGATGGCCGAAGTCTTATAAGCTCCTTTGCCCTGACGCAGGACTGGCCGTGCTTCATGGGATCCTACGCTATGTCCCCCCTGACTCCCTCCCCCCAGAAAGGCTCAAATCAGCCTTCGACAAGCACTAATCATGCAGGGATCAATTTTGGGGGAGGGGGAGTCAGCGGTGTGGTATGGGATCACATCCCGTAGATGAACGGCTTATTTCAAATTCCGAACTTATTATACAAATGGTCAGCAGAAAGTTCCTACTTAACTAAAGGTATATTCCTACTATATTCCTACTATATTCTTGGGGTTCCCTGTTTGGGGTTCCCATTAAAGTCCCTTTGTTAACAGAGTTAGCGAGGTCACAGCGCGTGCGGCAAGAAGAGCAGAAGCGACGCTGGAGACCAAGCGAAGGTTTCATCTTTCATGCGCAGTTCAGAGTTTAGGGCTTAGGGGCTCCTACTTACAGCATTATTATTGTTTTTGGGGGTTCCTCTTGGTGGTCAGGGAAGATTGAAGGTTTCTTATTTGAGTGCTTGTGTTCCAACATAGGCCCCTGGTACAGGACAGTGGGCTTGTAGGGTCCCTTTTCAGGTTCCATGCCAGGGACAGGGGTAAGCTACCAAGATACTTGAACTCGTTTGCGCCCGCCCTTTGAACATCAAACGCTGATGAACCTGATTCCTCTCGGAAGTTAGCAAGCTGAGAAGCACTTCTGGGCTTCCGATGTGCGAAGAATCCAGGTTTCATCTCACTGCTAGCACAATCTACGTAATGGAAGACGCGGCGACAAGTCAGACAGTGGTGCCATGTCATCTCTGTGCAATATGCAGCCCGACACGCAGCCCAGATAGACGCCCTGCGGAACCTACCCCTTACCCAACCGCATCTGGGGACACTGTCAATTCTGGCAGGGCGACTCCTTTAGCGTGTCATTTTTAGGTCGCTCCCTCTCACAGTAACAGTCCTGAAAGGGGTTCTTAGTAAGTGCTTATTAAAACTCCTATTGCGTCTTATGGTAACTGTTACTGTAATCGGGAGAGGCAAGACCTAAGGTATTGTTCATATAGATCCCAAGATGCCTGTACCAGGGCATTCCAATTTTGAGAATCCAGCGCAGGGGGGTTGCCGAGAAGCCTTTAAGAACTCCTGAAACCTGACAAGCTAGAACCGTTTTAGCCCCTTCACTCAGGTAGCCGAGCGCCCAGACCCTAGATGCTAGTAAAGGCTTCATGTGTTGCCCATTGCTGCTTTGGAACGAAAAGTTTAAGAAACGTTCTACAGTACCCATTAAACGCACTTACAACTCTAAACTCTAAACCCTTAACTGACCACAGTCTAAGGCCAAGCGACCTTCGCTGCCGAACGCCAAGCTCTTCGGGAGGAGGCTACCCAGCCGTCGGCTCAGTTTCAGGTTTAAGGGCTTAGGGTACAGTAGGACAGCGGCCCCTCAGTAAATACTATAGTCCCCCTTAAGTAGATAGAGGGGATCTTATTATAATATTCCCAAAACCATATTCTATCTACTTAAGGGGGATTGTAACATGATGGTGCTAGATTTTTCGTAGAGTCATGAAGTATACGGTGTCCTGGTGAGACTCAACCTCGAGGCGGTGTGGGTAATATAGGCTAGGAGGACCCCCCACCCTGTAATAGTGGTATAATAGGAATATAAGAGGACCCTAATACAATCCCTAGTATCCCCTATAGTCACTATTACTGGGTGGGGGGTCCACCTAAAATTTAGGTTATTTAGGTTTCTACAGCAGTATTCTTCACGCAGATTCTACAGTTCTCTGTGTAGAGTAGGATTATATCCTCCTAGCGGGTATAGCATTTCAGAAACAGAATACCATGTTTGGGTCAGCCACGAAAAAACTGCTCAATAGACTTCATGGTTCGGAAGGTAGGCACTATGAAAGGGGGTCATTGGTTCTGGGATCCTCCACTCCCATAAGCACTTGTGAGAGTTGTTTCTGGGAAGCTGATAGGGACAAATGAAGCGCATTGAGTTCAGGGCCAGGCTTTCGTGTTTCGGATCTAAGGGACGTGCTAATAGTGAACCCATGAAACCCCAAACCCCCTGCCAAGGGTTGGAATGCCTCAGGGCCATGGATTGTTTTCACACACTTAACGGCCACAACACTTTGCAACCCCTCTACAACCCAAAGTTCAAACCATGAAAGCTAAACACCAAACCGTGACCCTAGCCTCATGCCCAACCCTGAACGCCACACCCGAAACCCCCAAACCCCAAGTCTCAACCCCTAACTCCCCAATCCCAAAGCCTCAAACCTAAACCCTAAACCCTAAACTCTAAACCCTAACCTTGACCCCCCGCAGCACTGAACCGAAAATCCTAAGCCCCCAAACTGGCCTCCTCGCAGAGAAAAGGCTGGCGGAGCGCCTCCGCCAAGCCGAGGCAGTGGTTTGGCTAGGTATATTGGGTATAGTTTAGGCTTTAGGATTTAAAGTTTAGGGATTACATAGGGTATAGTATATTGGGGTTACATTGGGCTTTAGGATTTAGGGTTTAGGGTTTAGGGTTGGGATAATGGAAAAGAAAATGGAAACTACAGGGATTATAGGGATTTTGGGGATTATATAGTGGTATATTATACAGGGGTTACAGTTATATAGGGATAACGGAAAAGAAAATGGAAATTACAGGGATTACAGGGAATCTAGGGTATAGTATATTGGGGTTATATAGGGATAATGGAAAAGAAAATGGAAACTACTATTTAGGGTTAAGGGTATAGGGGTACTAGGTACCCCAGTAGTACCCTTTTTCCCTTTTTATTTGGGGGTCTCCATATTAAAACTAAATATCAGGAAAAAGGGTACGGGGGTTACTTGGGAACCTGTTTGGGTTGAGCTGTTTAGGGTTTAGCGTTTCGGGCTTGGCGTTCAGAGAGGGATATAGGATGTAGGGGTTATGCAGCGGCATGAAGGGATGTTTAGTGTTTTAGTGTTTAGGTTCGGAGTTTACATAGGCAGGCTAGGGGTATTTAGAGACATTTGGGGTTCCATGAGGGACATTATCCCAAGACTTGAGAAGGGAATGGACGAGACATTGGGAAAATGACATGGGAACAAAGATGAACCAGCACTACATGAGCTATAGTCTCAACTCCTAGTATCCCCCTTAGTAGCCCTAATAGTAGTCCCCTATATAATCCCCTATATAACCCCCTTTTAGGAGTTTAGATTATGGCTCACATGGCTAGTTTAGGGTGTATGGATTGGAGGACGTAGGGCTTAAGGCTTTAGAGCTTGCACGGTTGGGAAGCAAAGCTAATATCATGTAGGTATGTCTGAAGAGAGGGGTCTTCCTAATACCCCCAAACATTACAATCTCGGATACCCTTATGGAGGGTCCTGCCCTAAACCCTGAACCCCTAGACCCGAAACCCCGCTGCAGCACTCTGCTTAGCCGCTAGGTGAGCCCAAATGCCACTGCCATGCATTCCTTTACATACAGTTTAGGGTTTAGGGTTTAGGGTGGGGTTGAGGGTTTAAACCAAATCATCGAGTCCAGGGCTTAGGGTTTAGAGTCTAGGGCTTACGACTTAGCGGTTTAGCAATGCCGGAAACCAGCCGCGCAAGCCCAAATGCCGAATCCTAAATCCTGAAGGCTACGTCGCCTGAACTCATATACCCAGGCATCGACCGCACACGCTTGACCCGACAACGTCTGCTGTCCCAGTTTCCATGTCAGTTTTGGCATTTCTTTTACATTCCATTCTTCATTAAGTTAGATTCATACCGTTAAGCCTTAAATCCCGAAGCCCCAAAGCCTAAACTCCAAACCCTGAGTCCTAAACCCTGAGCCCCAAAACCTATACCCTAAGCCCTAAACCCTAAACCCTAGACGTGACAACCCCCCCCCACAAAGCTTATTCTGGGTTGCTGTTAAGGAACTTAAATTAAGTTACCATAATTGGTATATATATAGTAAATAATAGGTTTTCCCCAATATAGTAACTTCAATTAAGTTCCTTAAATCCCTATATTCCCCCAGCTTCCATTTCATTTTCCATTTTCTTTTCCATTTGATTCTCCATTATTAGGGGGATAATATACTATAAACCCTAAACCCTAAACCCTATAGTACCTTAATTTAAACAGCAACCCAGTTATTTCTACTCTCAGGGCAGCGCGCCCTGGTTGGGACTTCCGACCAGGGCCCAGGTCTCCGCGGCGCAGGCTTGTGGGTTTTGGGTTGATGGGGTGGGTGATTTTATTATTTAGGTTAGGGTTTAGGGTTTAGGGTTTAGGGTTGAGGGTGTATAGGTTCTAGGGTTTAGAGCTTATACAGGGAGTGGAGGCGCAGGCTCGGGTTTGGGGCGTGTCTGGAAGTTCCGTGAACGTTGTCCTTGATTTCTGTTCCAGGGAGGTTAGCGGGCTGCGGGCCTAGCGCGTGCCGCAAAAGCCCGTAGAATGATTAATGTTATGGCCTTGGCTTTCTTATAAAGTGATAGTATAGGTACCCCAAATGGATCTCAAAATCAAATTTGGTTTCATATAGGGCCCTATAATAACAGGGTTTGGGATTCTTCGGCCTAAGCTCTCATCAATCCCAGTAACGGCCTCTCAAACGGCGTCAAGAAACCCTAGACCCTAAACCCTAGCATCTTTGAACCCAGAACCCTGAGCTCTGGTGCTTTACAGCAAGAACTACATAGGAGGTTCAGAGTAATTGCAGACCAATTACATACAATCCAGTTACAATTACATTATTGAACTTAGCGGGCTGATACTTGGGTTCTGAGTACATGACAGTTATAACCGGGTTATGATTACCCTGATTTTTGATAAATTGTGGTTCAACTGCTCTAACCCCTAAACCCTAATAAGTTCGGTCATAACTAACCTGAACCTCCAAGAAGGGGACTGCAGGATACTTCAGCCCCGCAATATAATTCAACTCTAGACTAAACCCTAAACCCTAAACCCAAAACCCTAAACCCTAAACCCAAAACCCTGATTTTCTTCAAGCACCACAACGACATTGTGCACCTGTGGAGGCACCCGTGCGGCAGCCGGCGACTAGCTTTTCGCGGCTGACTTCGAAGCAGCCGCGGCCTGAGCATGGAGTTTAGACGCGCAGTTCAGGGTCTAGGTTAGGAGGACCCCCCCACCCTGTAATAGTGGTATAATAGGAATATAAGAGGACCCTAATATAATCCTTATTATCCTTTGTACTCACTATGACAGGGTGGGGGTCCACCTAAGGTCTAGGGTTTAGGGTTCTGGGCTTAGGGTCAAGGTGGATGGCTTAGAGGGGTCATGGTTGAACATTCTATCCCTCTTCTTTGAATGCACGCAAACCAATACGGAATATGAAGGTGCTGTTTCTCATGATCTCCCAAGACAGCACTGAGTTATGGATTGAGGGAAGTTCAGCGTTTATGCATTCCGTTGATACGCTAAGCCCTAAATAGTAGTTTCCGTTTTATTTATTCCATTATCCCACTATAACCCCAATGAAATTTGGAGGCCTCAGGAAGGCTTTCGCCGTTTGGAGTCAGGTAGTTCACAGATGGGGGGTGGGGGTCTCTATAAAAAGGATTCTACCTGCTAAACCTGATTCGCGAAAATTAGCATGGGTTACCAGAAGTCGTCCTAATTTACGATGCTCACTGCAGATTCGTAATAATGGGCGATCGGAAGCCACCGAAGGCGTTCGGAAGCATTCCATTGTTGCAGGCCATGATTTCAAAGCTGAAGAAGCACCAGTCAGTGTCATTCAAGCCGCAGGCTGCTTAACTCGAGGAGCGTTCGGAGGCATTCGAATGCGTTCGGAAGCGTTCGCCGAGCGGCATTCATTGGCATTCGGCGTTGGCGAGGCGTTCGCGAAGCATTCGCGAAGCGTTCGCGAGGCGTTCGCGAGGCGTTCGCGAGGCGATCGCGAGGCGTTCGCGAGGCGTTCGCGAGGCGTTCGCGAGGCGTTCGCGAGGCGTTCGCGAGGCGTGCGTTCGGGGCGCGCGTTCGGGGCGTGCGTTCGGGGCGTGTGTTCGGGGCGTGCGTTCGGAAGCGTTCAAAGGCGTTCGACAACGGTTGGCTTGTCAGCGATTTCTGATGGTTTGGGCTGGCCATGGGATGACCCGCTAGGTCGGTATGGTTGCGCTGCTTTCCTATTCAAAACAACACGCACGCAACAATACGCGATCGAAGGCGATCGGAAGCGTTCTTATGCGATCTCATCACTGAATTCGTAATAATTCCAAGTTCTCGTACTGATTTCAGTGAAAGAGGTTTAGCAGGTAGTATCTGGGGGGGTCTATACGGGCATCCCCGTATTACTGGAAACACTACCAGATTGAGAAGCCGTCGAAATTCAGGAGCTTCGAGTTCGTAACGTTCCGGGTTTAGGGGTTTAGGGTTGAAGGGTTTAGGGGTTTAGGGGTTTAGGGTTTAGGGGTCAGGGTATACGACAGCTCTACGGCAGGGGCTCAGTTCAGGGCTGTGTTTGGAAAATAAGGTGGCGTGTATCTGGGCTGCTGCTAAGGAAGATTGTTTACATTACCAGAACAAGGAACCCCATTGTTTACTAAAAACCCATTTCATGGTAACCCTAAACCCTTTTAAGGCCCTTAACAGCGACCCAGGTACAGGGCAGAGCAAGATTTCCAGCGTTAGAGGGCAAGATGCCACTGCTTGTTATTTCTGGGTTGCTGTTTAGGAACTTAAGTGGAGTTACCATAATGGGTATATATATATATATCTATTAAATGATACTGTAGGGTTTCCCCCCGTATGGTGACTGAAGTTAAGTTCCGTGACAGCAACCCAGATTTTCCCATTTGTACACCCCCTTTAGCAGGGTTTAAGGAGCTTAGATGGAGCTTAATAAGGCCTGATAGGGTTCTGAATTGGGGGGCATGCATTCGGGGGGGGGGGTGGGGGGAACATTGCTAATTCCTAACCATGAGGGGAAGCCTTCCTCCAGTGAACTTCAACGCCAGGGCCCCCGATGTAAGTGATTCAGGACTTGCGTACTGAGTGACAGGATTTTGATGCCAATACCCACCCCCACCCCCCTAAAAGGCACCTTTGTGTTTATAAATCCTAAACCTTAAACCCAAACCCTAAATCCCAAGACCGAAGCCCTAAACCCTAAGCCCTACACCATATAGTCCCCCTTAAGTAGATAGAATATGGCTTTGGGTAGATTATAATAAGATCCCCATATACCCCATTAGAAGGGGGACTATAAACCTTAGTGAAATTCCGATGTTCAATGTCATCCTGGAGGTTTCTGAACCTAGCCCCCTGTTCAGGTGAATGTGAGCTATAGTCTAAACTTCCTAAAGGGGTGTTAAATAGGGGATTATATAGGGATTCTTTTAGAGGTTGTTGAGGGAGATACTAGGAGTTTAGACTATAGCTCATGTAACTTTACTTTTCGAGTCGTAATTGTATAATTGTGTGAGGTATATCCATGCTTACTCTGGTTTGAACTTCCAAACCCAATTTCGAATCTGGTGCCTGTCACTGCATCTCCCCTTTCGCGCCCTGCATGTCGCTCATGGTGCCCTACGCAACCCCCCAACTATGGAACAAACCCACAAACCAATTAGTTGGGTATGCCTCACAACTCTTTTCTTCCCCAAGGGTCAGGATGCTTGATGACAGGATCTTCAGAAACGGACCTGTCGGTTTGCAAACCCTGCCTGGGGTGCTTATTGGCCTGGGCTGCAACTAGCCTTCCTATACAATCCTCAGAAACCCTCTAAACCCTAAACCTTAAACGCTAAACCCTATATAACCTATTATAGTATTTTCCATTTTACTTTCCATTATCCCTATATAACCCCAATATACTATGACACCCTATATAATCCCTATAACCCCTATAATCTATGTAGTTTCCATTTTCTTTTCCATTCTCCCTATATAACCCCAATATAACCCCCTCTTATCATCCTGGTAGCTGCCCAAACGGACTTGCAGACTCATGAGCCCTAAGCTGGGTTTCTGTTAAAGAATTTAAATAAAGTTACCATGTTATATAAGGGTTATATAGGGGTATATAGGGATATATAGGGTTTAGGTAAAGGAACTTAAGCTAAGTTACCATAATGGATATATATAGTAGTTAATATGGTTCCCCCAATATAGTAAGTTAAATTAAGTTCCTTAACAGCAACCCACCTATTTCTGTCGGCAGGTCCGTGGCAACTGAGAGATGGATGGACGATGACACCGTCGACGCGTATGCCTCAGCTAGGAGTTCCAACCCTAGAACCAAGGGTTTAGGGTTTAGGGTCAAGGGTTTAGGTTTAGGAGTTCCAACCCTAGAGCCAAAACTCCTAAATGCTGAACTTGTACGTCCAGAGGGCGTTTCGGGAAGATGTTTATTTCTTACGGCTGGATTATGCGGTATAGCAGAACAGTGACTCTTATGAGTTTCAGGCTTTGCACCAGGCAGCTAGGTAGCACTTTGGATACGTAGTGTTTTGGGCCTTTTCATGAAGCAGGACCTGGCAATTTGACTGGCAACGGGAAACTGGGTTGCTGTTCAGGACCTTTTTTAGCTGCTACAATGAGGAACCCCATTGCTTACTATACACCCATCTTATGGTAATCTAACTCAAATCCCTTAACAGCAGCCCAGTTTTTGCACGGGACATTCCTGTAGAAACCCTAAACCCTAAACCGCTGCAAGTGGCCTAGAAACCCTAAACCCTAAACCCCTAAACCCTAAAAGTCCACGGAGTGCCTTGTCCTGAAGGTGCCTCAGTCATCAGGATTAAGGGGTTTAGGGTTAAGGGTTTTGGGGGGGTTTAGGCATTAGAGATTCGGGTGTAGGGTTTAGGTAATACCTGGACCCCAAAGAGGAGTATTGTGCCCTTAGACCCCTTCATACCTGTGTTATACATCTCCCGGAAAGGCAGTTCTTAATGTGTAGGCTCACAGTACCTACGGCTGCAAACGCCAAACCGTAAATCCCAGTGACTCAATCCTGCATGCCCCTTTAAGGGGACATTATAGCTGTGTACTTATTTCAACCCTCCTGCCGGCAACTGTGAGGCAGAGTCCGTCGCGACTGGCATTGTCGCTTCAAAGGCATTCATCGCATGTGTTGGTGGCCAAGCCTCTTGAACCCTAAGGCCTAAACCCTGGATCCTAAACAAACTGATGCGGCCTAACCTCTCCCTAAATGGTTCCAGAAAATAGTTCCAAACTGGCTCCGTTTCAGGTTTTCATGAAACTATTGGAAAATGGCCGGTGCATCCTAAACTCTACACAACAGGGGTCTGGGCCACACTTCCCGCCTATACCTTGGGGTTCATTCAGACTGTCCTGTGCTGGGGGTAGCACCTTCAAAGTGCTTTGCCCACAAGAGTCCAAACAGCGTGTCTATTTCATCAGGGTTCCGACAGGTGCATCACAGTGGGTTGCTCAGAGGGGTATGTATATGATGTAAGACTAAATTCGTCAGGCACCCATCTACTTGCTTCTGGACTTTGCGGGGTTGCAGGTGTTCAGGATACAGGGTTAGCTGCCAGTGAGGAGGGCCTTCTCTTGATCCTGGGATCACTAAGGCTTTGACTGAATGCGCCCCCCCCCCACCTGCTCTCGCTTAGCTTCCAAGCGCCTCGGAGCTTGCGAAATCTGGGAATTTGAGCAGCTATTCTTACCACACATGCACAAACGCTTTGCAAATCTTGGAGGTCTCCACATGTGCAGCCCATCCGACGGCCCCGGAGTCGTACAACTTGCAAGGAACATGTTCAGGATGTGGCGAACAGCTCAACCCTAAACCCCTAAACCCAAACCCCAAGATGAGAAAGCCAGCTATGCCGTCCTTAGCGCTTGCTGTGCTGCTATGCCTGCAGTCCCTGACTGCTAGATCCGACAGGCACATTGCTCGTCGCCAGGCTATTGTAGCGGAGAACCAAATGTGTCAAGATTTGGGTTACCATGGGGCCATCATGGGTGGACATGGGGTCCCTTTGGTAGGCTAGTATGGTCCCAAATTCATTTCCTGGTTTCTTAAGGGAGCCCGTGTCGATGAATTATATGGGAAACATTGGCTGTTGCTCAAATGACTCAAACGGAAAGGTTTTTTTTTTCCGAAGCTGGGCCTATGGGCTAAGAGAAATGTAGGGGCCTAGACATTTAGAATTGTTTTTTGGGGTATATTACGCCACCGTAGTTTCAGGGTTATAATTGCATGATGTCGGTAATATGGCTGCTGCAGAAGGGAATGTACAGGTTCACCGAGTAAATACTCAGAATGTTGAGTTCAGCATGTTGTGTTTTTGCTTCCCGCCTCGCTGGGGTTGTTAGATTTTGAGGACAGATGGCCGCGAACAACGCGAGTGCCGAAGTAGCGAGGCAACGAGAACAACCCAATCAGTAGGCACCAGCCAGTACAGAAACAAGAGGACAATTTGGAGGACAGGAAAGACGACAGACAACAGGATACACAAAGAGGACAGTCAAGAGGCAGGAGGACAAAAGAATTGAACTGATCAGAGAACAGGAAGGTGAACATAGAGCAAGACAGATAAGAGGACACCAAACAGTGGCTAGTGCGGATCCCAGGCCTCCGAGTGCACCGAAATAATCTGGATGCCCAAAGAGCAGCCAGTGCAGGTCCCAG